ATAATTCTTGATGAGTTATCCGAAGATGCTAATTAGTGGCTCTTTGATAGTGTGGAAAGAAGAAAATCAACTGGTGTTCACCAAGTTAAATCTACTACATCCGCGCAAGTACAACTTGATGCTATGGCTAAAGAAATACGAAAGCTAACTGTAGCTTCAATGCAAAATGTACACCATGCAGCTTGTGATATATGTGTAAGAGGACACCCTACTCATGAGTGTCAAGCTTTAACTGAGGAAGTGAATGTTGTAGGGAACTATAATTTAATGCAATGGGTCAGAGGCACCCGATTTTTCATGTAGTTCACCTGGGGGTACTGCAAATGCATAGAAATAAAACAACCCCAGATTCCAAGAACAAGGAGCTCCAGGTTTTCAAAATCAGCAGAGGCAGCAGTATCAACCTCCACAGTCGAATCAACCCAGCATGGAAGATCTTATGAAGACCTTCATTATCAAGACGGATGAGAGGCTTGATGCCCATGATGCAGCTATCAAAGAATTGGGTACATTTTTTCGAAGCCTGGAAAGACAGGTTGGGCACTTAGCTACTCTAATATCTGAGAGAGCCCCAAGAACACTCCCAGCTGATACAGAAAGAAATCCCAAAGAAATAGTGAATGTTGTAACTTTGAGAAGTGGGCAAGTGTTGAAAGATCTCACCCCAATCCACAAAGATATGAGACATGAAAAATAAAGCGGGGAGCAGCTGAAAAGTGGTGTCGAAAAGAAGAAGGAAGAAAACTAGAGAAGGGAGGAATTTGAGGCGAGCAAGCATATGCCTGTGCTGCCTTTTCCCCAAAAGCTAAGTAAAGAAAAGCTGGACAAGCAGTTCGAGAGATTTCTAGATGTGCTGAAACAGGTTAATGTAAACCTACCATTCACAGAAGTGCTCTCATAAATGCCGGCTTATGCGAAGTTCTTGAAGGAGATCCTGACAAAGAAGAGGAAAATAGAAGAGACCTCAGTGGTCAAGCTCACAGAGCATTGCAGTGCAATATTGCAAAACAAACTCCCACAAAAGTGTGGAGATCCAGGGAATTTTACCATACCTTGCCCTTTAGGCACTATTAATTTTGATAAGTCTCTATATGATTCTGGTGCCTCAATTAATTAAATGCCTCTATCTATTTACAGAAAACTGGAGAAGGAGATTGGAGAGATAAGGTCTCCACCAATATCTTTGCAGCTGGCAGACCAAACGACTCTAATACCCGAGGGAATAGTTGAAGATGTCTTAGTTCGGGTAGATAAGTTTGTATTTCATGTGGATTTTATAGTGATTAATATGGAAGAGAACAAGGAGGTCCCCCTCATCCTAGGAAGACCATTCCTAGCAACGGGTAAAGCAGTATTAGATATACATGAGAGAAAACTCATGTTTGAGTGGGCGATGAGACTATGACTTTTGAGATGGATATAGAAAGGGGGTAAAAAATGAGAAGCTAGTTGCTAGTGTTGTGTGGAAAGTGAAGAGCAAGAAAGAGAAGGATGCAGTGAGTGAGAAAGAAAAGTGTGGGGTGTACCCCAAGAAGGTCGAGAAAAGCTATATGCATGGATGAGTGCACTAGTTCGGGCGCGAGGGATGAAGCCCAACTTCGACTCAAAGTCCGACTAGATATTCAGGGAAGGTTTCCTTACCTCTTGCCTTTATTTATGTGTCATAGGGACATGAGACAATTTAAAGTGTGGGGTGGAGAGGTATATATGTATAGACTGTATAAATGTTTATGTGTATGTGTGTTTTTGTAATTCATTTGATTGAAAATTTTAAATTTTTGATTTCTCCCGACGATGGATGTCATTCAACAGGTTTCTTGAGGGGTTAAGTCGAAAGAAAAAGACAAGATTTTTTTAGGTAAGCGTCTGAATTCCCCCTTGGTTTATCTTTGTGTCGCGGTTCTTTTCCAAGGGTTTTGTTTGAACCAGGTGTAGTTAGTTTTTATTTTTTTTTAGTAGGAAACCTTGTGTTGTGATTTGAAATGAAAGCAATATCTCTTGACTGTATTATGCCTTGAGGATAGTAAGTGTTTTAGTTGTGACGCTTAGGTTTAGTTTTTGACCCTTGTATAAGCACCTTAAATTGTATGATCTTAACTTTGCTTAACTACTTTGACTAGAATATCTTGATGAGCACGGTCCTGAGTGAGTTTTGTGCCATGTGTGTGTGAGATTTTGGTCATTTTGTGCATTGCATTTGATGTCTATAACTTGCCCCGTATGTTTGCAAAGTGAAATAATAATTTTATTCAGTCTTGGAAGTGATATAAGCGTTTCTTTGTTGAGCCAGTTATATGTTGTTACCCACCTAATTGTTATATATCTTAACTAACCCCTTTGAGCTTGTGATCTTTTTTCTTTGGCAACCACATTACAAGCCTTACCTATTTGTTTGAATTGACCATCTAGTTGAACCTTTAACCTCTTGTGAGCACTTGAATTTATTATGAACTTTGTAAAGGTTTAAGTGTGGGGTGTTGGGTTGGATTTTGAGTAGAACAATTGAAATAAGGATAAAGGTGCATTGTTTTGAAAAAGTAAGAGCCACTTGAATTGAATAAGAAAAGAAAGAAAAAAAAAGTTAATTGTATGATTGTGTAAAATATTTCATGATAGTGGTAACTTTTGATGTAATTATGCTTAAAGAAGTTGGGAGTTAATGTATATTGATGTGAAGGTGGAGTTATGGTTTGACATAAGTGTGGGGTTTTGAACAATGAAATGTATGTATTAAAGTGCTTAGGGAGGTGTAGTCACTCTTATATCTAAATGTATCATACTCGTACCGCAGCCTACATTACAACCAATTAAAGTCCTACTTGATCCTTGACTGAATGAGCTCGATTAGTTGAGTATTACACTATGGGCAAGCCTATGCTTCATCTTTTGTGGCATATGAATGTTATTTCTGAGAGTGACTGAATTCTTTCTATATTGAGTTCCTGATTGTTGTTAAATTTAATGGTGTGTGGAACTACTCTCTATTGTTGTGAGGGCACTTGATTCATTAAGGAAAGGTAATATCGTTGACCTCTGTATTAGAGTAAGTGAGCGGGTTATAAATAATGTGTGGTGCTTTTGAGTCAAATTTTGAGGCTAGGATGTTACGGTGTTGTGCTTAATCAATTTTAATTATTCTTGGAGTTATGAGTTATGAGAGTTGTTTAAAAATATCGTGTCTATGTGAAGTGTAGTTTGATTGCTCGAGGACAAGCAATGGTTTAACTGTCGGGTGCTGATGGTAGGCTATAATTACATGTTTTAGTCTCTTATTTCACTCTAATTTACTGCACTTTAATTGAGTTTGAGCTTTAATCGCTAGTGTTTTGCACTTATTGTGTGTTTTATGCCTTGTAGGAGTGATTTCGAGTGATGTAGATGTTATGGAGCTAATTCGAGTGATTTGGAGCTTTGAAGTCTGAGTAAAAGCCCAAGGGATTAAGCTGGGATCGTGTTCGGGGGTTGAGGACCAATTCTGGATGTCAAAATCGAAGCAAAATCTGTACTCTGAGAAATTTGCACTAGCGCGTCGCACAGTGCATCGCATAGTGCGTCTCATTAGTGCAAAGGTGCCCATAAATTGTTTTGTGAAGTGTTCTGAAAATTGCCACAAGCGCGCCGCATGGTGCGGCGTGGCATGCGGCACGGTAGCCCAAAAATGTTAGAGTGACTTCCCATTTTCGCTAAAAAGGGCAGTTTCGTTCAGGGTTTGTTTTGGCGATGGCTTAAATACACCAAAACACCATTTTAAAAGGATTTTTTTGGATATATTTTCGACCTAAGGAGGCCAAGGAGGCTAAAGAGGAGTTGGAAGAACACAAGCACAGGAATTTCATCATTCCTTCCTCACTCAAGATCCGGGTTTGAATTGAATTTATATTTTTCTATACTTTAGTTACATTTATGAAGAACTTCTCCATGGTTATGGAGTAGATCCTTTTGGGTTTTGATGGATTTGGTGTATTGATGATTGTTTGTGGATTATAACTCTATTGTTATGTATTTGAATCGTTTTTGGAAGATTAATTGTTGCATCTATATTCACTTGTTCTTGTAATCGAAAAAGGCATAACTTGTGATATCTTTGCATTATATTGTTGGTTGAGTTTATAGATTTTTCTAAGTAATCGAAAGAGGCTAGTTGATTAAACCTAGTTAGGAGAATAATCGAGAGAGATTCTCCTAAAGACCAATCCAATATGCATTCTTGCATATCTTCACAGAGCTTAAATTGGTTCATATTGAAAGGTTGAGACTTAATGGGGAGATGAGTTTTTACTAAACAATTATACTGATAATTAAGTGAATTCGAGAGACTCGCTTGAAAATTAGAAGTGAATTATCTAGAGTTAAATCCCAGACAATTATCTTGCACCTATCCTATCAAAACCCAATTTTCTCTCGTTGATATCTTCCTTTGCTTAGGCCTTGTTTTGATTGTCATTAGTTAAGTAGCTCTAGATTCTTAATTAATTTTAGTATTAACCACATAAATCTAAATTGTTGATTATATTGGATAGCAATCTAGCTACAATCTATGATAATACTATTTAAATCCAATCTTTGTGGACACAATATTATACTATACTATCTTTGACTAGCGAGCACAGATTTAAGTGTGTGTTTTGCGCTCGTCAACTCACGCTACACTTCTGCACTAACCGTGCAGGATATGAGACAGGTGCATCTAGCAGTCATACTGGCGCGCATCCCCGTTACCCCAAGGCCTAGTGGTGAGCTGCTCTCTGAGCCGTTCTGCAGCACCTGGAGTCTATCTTTTGTATTTAATTTCTGTCTACTTTATTTCAGACAATAGTTAGAGTTTTGTATATTCTACTAGTTGCTCATACACTTGCGACACCGGGCCTTGGCACACATACAGAAGCCGGATACTCTCATATACAAGTGGTTTATGCAGCTCAAAAACTAAAAAGAACTGGTGGGAGACTGTAGTAACATACCATCAAAGAGAATGGACGGTTTTTACTTGCAAAGTAATGTAGAAAACTTAAACGAAAGAAAATCATAACGTAAAGTTTCAAAATTTCAGTTTAATCGATTTAATAATCGTCATTGTTCAAAACCGGCAGGTAATCAATCCTCTAATAAATACTTCAATAGAGCAGCATGTACTTCTTCTAATGTTGTTGGAGGTACACTTGAGTCCTGAAGACATAGATTATTTTTTAGAAAACATTATCTCTGTTGTACTCGAGCACAAAGTCTCCAGACGGTCGAATGATATGTGCGTCTAAGGCAGGAGTGAATGGCCGCCCTCTAACTTTCACATGACGAATGCTGCACATATGATTCAACTGTATTCAAGATCACTTGACGAATAATATGTGCTTTTCCTAATTAGGAAGTTTTCTTAGTTCCGTAATTTTGGTTGTAAATACACTGAGAAGGTAGTGAATATTGACGTCACTATGGAAAACAAAATTCATCCACATTCCTCCACAATGCCATTCAGAAGAATGACAATAAAACCGAAAAGGATGAATGTTTTGTCTAAAAGAAATTAGTGAGTGGTAAACATGGACTTAGATTAAAAACGGAGTGGAAAAGGAACATTTCTGAGTATAGATCAATATTTTGTTAGTATAATTGGCAACTGTATATATAATGACGTTACATTGTTCTCTAGTTCGAGTAGAATTCTTTCAACATTGCCGTAACTTACAAACTTAGGCGTCATTTTTTGAGTTAGAAATGTATGTATTGAAGAGCAAATATATGGGTTTCAACTTCTTTGATAGGATATTAATTGCTTGAGGTATCTCAAGACTTATTAGTAGTATGTCCAGCTACAACATCTTGCTGATGGATTGACCAATAAATACAGCACAGAACTTTCAATTAAGACAGAGAAGTGATGAACACTAACCATATGTAAAACAAGCCGTCGATAAACAAGTCGTCAATATCACATCTCAGAGCTCTGCCCAACAGTTCAATTTGAAGATATCCACCAATACAAAGCACCGGTTCTGGTAGCTTGAACTGCTGCAACCGGGTTTCCTGGCCATCAAAGTTTGATCTGTTAATTTTCCTATGCAAATTACTCTATGTCACTTCTTTAAAAGGCCAGGAGATGATGTTTAACCTAGTATACCTTTTACTTATGACAAGATTCAGAAACCTTGGCCAGAGTAATGCCTACTAGTGCTCCCCATCAGCGGAGAACTATTCCACCTACTTAGGACAAGACTTTGCGCCTTGAGAACAAGCTTATTCGTGCCTCCACCAGTGGAGATTACTCCACCAACAAAAAGAAAGACAATTTCTAGTAAATAAGATCGTCTGCGTTTGGGAAAAAGTAAAGTTAATAACCGCACCTGTCTCATAAGGAATTCTTCCGAGGTATAAGTCCATATAAACTTGTCATCAGCAGGTTGATCAGGGTGCCAGTGCAGGAGACGCCTCTTATCTCTTGAGGATTTGGGGTGTCCTAATCGAAATCGAACAGATTTTGGGCAGCATATGGCCCTGCCTGGATGGGAATACACTGATTTGGAAACATTTGCATATTAGCAAAAGAGCAGCAAAAAAAGCTTTGTAAGTCTGATCGTGAATAGTCGAGCGGGTATCTAATGTCCCGAGGTAATGATAAGAGAGACTAAAAGAAACTGAACAATCACCTTCCAAAGGTTGTATATTAATTTCAGTGATGACGCAAAGATCAGCTTTCAATTTGTAAATTAGCGTCTCCGGGGCATTGGGATCACTGTCCCCTGTGCTTGACCAGTATGAAGGTTGATCTTGGTTTCTATCTGTTGGAACCAGAGTATTCCAAACACTTACTGGATAATCGTCCGTACTTGAAGCGCTGACTTCATAATCTATGCAATCACTTGGGCATGAGTTTGATGTTTCAATAGCTTGAAGTAGAGAAGCATAAACATTATGGTCTCTTTTTAGAGTCTCCCAAGTGGAATTGCTAAATTTTACATCTTTTCCTTCTGCAATTCCCAAATCTGGTTCTCTTATACGTGAAATTCTAGAAAGCTGCGGAAACTTTCTCAGACACAGTTGCTTGGAAAGTCCATTAGCAACCACTGCAAGTAAATAAGTAAACCATCAATATATTTGTTCAAGTAGAAAACAATGGCATCCAAGCTTACTATAGCATCAACTTTCTGGATCAAAGATTGTGAAATCCAAGGAAATTGATGCCACATCATAAAGCCAGAAGATGCTGATGAAGCTTGGACCGCCGACAGTCCAAAGTACAGTCATTAAGTTTCCACCTGCTACCAAAGGAAAATATGATATGTAGTGTCTCAAATTACTTCTCTTTTTAGCCTGTCCCACAAAGAATGTGTCTTTTTAGAAACTATTTAATCTTACAACCCCCATTTTATTCTTAATGACCTGTTGAGACTTGGGACCCACTTTATATAAAAGTTCATTCTTTTAAAAGAAGAGAGAAAATAAATGACAAGTGTAACTCTTACCACCACCCGCTTAAAAGTATAATTATGGTACTTTGCATATATTTGGCTTATATGTCAAAAGTCTTCTTAATTTCTTAAACTTCGTGCCTAGTCAAACACTTCACGTAAAAAGGGTCGGAGGGAGTAGTAATTTATCAAAAATAGTTCAAAAAACACTACCAATTAATTTATTATTCAAGATGAAACTGAGCAAGCTACAGTCAACTAGATAGATCAGGTTACATTCAAGGATAAGCTTAAACTCCGTTATTGCCCAATGCCCAGTTAAGGAGTTAAGGATGTAACCTTACACCAAAAAGCTAAAAGAGTATATTACATCTATGCTTCAATCTGTGTATGCTCTATGTCGTCCATCATAATATATCTCTGATATCTCTCCTTCCATATCACCAACCATATTGTCTGTTTTCTTGCCTCCTCCATTCAGCACTTCAATAGCTCCTAAGTTTCATGTCTTCAGAGCTCTCCCTGCATAAAATACATCTGCTGCATGTATGCATACCTCTCTGCAGATTTTGTTTTTTTTTCAAGCATGCATTCCTTGCTACTGACCATGTAAATCATTCTATTTCGAGAGGAGCTCTATTCATCCAAATTTGAATCGAAGGCCACCTACTCTGACCATTCTCTCCAGTCAAAAGTCTTGCAGCATTCCTTTACTAAAAAGCAGCCATTTTGTTATATTTCACTCCAATTTGTCATCTTGCCAAACGAGAATTTCCCTTCCATTCCTTAACTTGAACCTAATTGCTCAGAAGATTGATCCTACATCCTTCTGATGTACTTCCCATTGCTTATACTATAAGAATGATTCGGGTTTTTAGTGATACAGTGATCCTCCATACCAAACTTCTCTTTAATGGTCTTTCTCCAAATGGCATTTTCTTCTCTATTAAATCTCCATAGCCATTTAAAAATAAGGCTATTATTCTGAGTCCTAATCTGCGTCTTAAGATTTCTTACTCCTACCCCCTTGCCTTCTAAACGTGGTGACCAAATTCCATTTCACCAGGCTAATCCTATTTTATCTGTTTTCATGCCAAAGGAAATCCCTCCTTCACTTATCTATTCTTCTTCCCACTTTCTTGGCATTGGAAAGAGGGACTTGGTATATGTGGGAAGGGCATCCAACACTCTGTTTATGAGGACCAATCTTCCACCTAAGTATAAATATTGTTTCTTCCAGTTTGCTAATCTCTTCCCGCACTTCTCTAACTCCCGTTGCCCACATCATCTCTGCCTTGTGATTTGCCCCTAAAGGGGTCCCCAAACTCATGCCAAACATTTGCATTAATGCATCTCACACAAATTGGAAGTGCGTGAAAGAAGGAAACAGTACAATACCATATTGTCACGAATTTACAAAGGAAAATATTTGACACCCTATCGTTTTTCCCATTGGAACAGTGATTCTCATAACTAACGTCAAGACATCTATAGCATGGTGGAATCAATTCACTGCCACACCAGATCTCAGAAAACTAGCAAATTGAGAGGATGAAAGTTCATCAACTGGTACTCTCAAATTTTAACGAAAGTCTTAGGCGGATCACCTAAATCATTGCAGAATTCTAATACCAGCAGATCGTACTTGAATTTCTCAAACTTGGATTAACCAAGAAACATGGAAAAGACAAAATAGCAGAGACCGTTGCTATGTAATACTGTAGAAAATATTGTTAATGCAGAAAGGCCATTTACTTAGATATCTATAACAATTTGAAGAATATAAAGAAAGAGCAGCTATGAGCTTTTAGCCACATTAAGTATAGCAAGCATAGGACGGAGAGTAGAAGAGTGTCACAATGGAAACAGGAAAATGCAGCCTATGACCTATCATTTGTGATACATAACATCATTAGGATTGTAGTATTATGATGAAAAGAGAACAGTTTTTCAGTCTCACACTCACTGCCTAAGCAAGTGCACTAAACAATGCTATAACTACTTCAAAGAAAAAATTGAAAGCTTGAACGACTCACCAAATTGGAGCCAAAGGTGTGAAACAGAGCCAGCACGGACCACATCAGCTGGATCATTCAAACGCATCAGAATGTTCAGAGATACGTCAATTTCAAGCCATTGCACAAAATCGACAAGTGTCTCCATACAAAAGCAAATTTACTCAAAGTTCCAAAGCCTGAATCATCACAAAACACCTAATTCATGCAAAAGCAAAAGAAGGATTATTTTGAAAAAGTCTCAGAGTGAAGTAAAATATACAAAAATGAATTTAAATGCCAGTTTATGTTTGCGCTCGAGGTAACGGAAAGGCTCATGAGAATGGTTTCTCTTAAGCTGCTTTCAAAAAATGAAACTTTCTCATCAAGTCAATACTCGCATAAAAATCTCATCCTTCATAACTTTAACCAATTTTTCAATTCACAAGCACCAAGAAGAAAAACTGGAATACCATCCAACCAAAGAAATGAAAAGCAAAAAATGAGGAATAACAGCAAATGATGATACACCAAAAAAAATAAAAAAAAGGAATCACAGGAGGGGTCACTGCAACTGTGGGATAACAACATATAGTTAACCAAGAGTACAGAGGATGGGGTTTTATGGTGCATGCTATTTGTAGATAGATTTTGTGTTACCTGAAAAAACTAACAAGAGACTCAATCAAAAGTTAAACTATAGGGTAGCATTAACGAGGGTAAAAGTTTTAGGATTGATAGAAATAAGTTAGGACAAATGTGTTATAATTTTAGACTCCTCAAGAAGAACGGAGTGAAATTAGACATGATTATGGTGTTGTGTCTGAATGTAACAATTTAAGTATTTAGTCTTAGTCCTCTAAGAGAAAGACATGATTGATGGAGACATAACACATAAAATCAAATATGATGATTGAAATGGATATTATAAGTGTATTGTGCGAAATGGTTAACAGAAACAGGGGCAGATGCAGCATGAAGGTACCGGGTTCATTTGAACCCAGCACTTTTGACGCGGAGCATAAATTTATGTGTAAAAATTATTATAATTGCAGCAAATAGTAGATATGAACCCATAACTGGGAAAAGAAATTTTGTAGGTTCAACGTTAAGAATCTTAAGATTGAACCCATAGACCTCAAATCTTGTACACGCCTCTAAACAGAAGATACCTAACAAATGAAATGTACATATCGAAGGGTTGCGAGACTAACAATGTTGTATGAGAGCGAGTGTTGGGATATCTAAGACCCAGCATATAAACAAGATGAGTATCGAAAATTTAGAGATATTCAGATAGAATGCAATCATATAGTGTTAGACAAGTTTAGAATTGATCACATCGAACAAAGGGTGCAGTAGCACACATAAAAAATAAATAATTGTCTGAGATTGTTTTTACCATGTTCTACGTAGACATCCAAATGCAGTAAATGAGTAAGTGCAACACTGTAATGATTGAATGTGCTAAAAGAAGATGAAATAAACCTAAAATCACATAGAAAAATTGTTCCAAAAGACTTAAATTCTCTGTAAATCAATAAAGATTTAGCTAAGAATAGAATAAACTAGAAACAAAGGAACCATATAAGAAATGACACCTAATTAGAACTAAATTTTAGCTATTCTTGTTAACCTTAGGTCCAGCGATCTGCCGAAAATCTTTGTAGTCTGGCTAGAGCTTCGTACACCAGTGTTAGCCGTTCGGACAAGTGTTATATAAAAAAACCTGATTTGGGAAAACCCCTAATTGACTTAAAAGACAACTAGTATGGAAATAAAATAAACTCAAATAGAGCAGAATGGATTTAGAAGATTCCTATAACTGATTTTAACAAATTTGGGATTGAAACGTAGTGGATTGACAGATAAGATCAAATTCAAGACGGTTCCTGGGCCGGACCTATAACTCGTAGATCGATCATATCAATTAGGCCTGTCTAAAAACAAGCATGCTCAAAGTTCTGGCCTCTTTGATAGCAAGAAATAAAAGAACAATATATTGGTACAATAATAAGCAATAAAATTGAATACGCTTAAGCTCCCTTTAGTTCAATGAACTTAAATAAGAGTTCTTCTGAATTTAAAATAGAAAAAATTTCTCCTTTTTAAGACATTAATGTTTGGATATGCTAGTGTTTCACTAAATGTACATAAGCAATTGTCTAGTGCTCGGACAAATTTGGATGGTCACACCCTAGAACTCAGTAAAATTCAACCTCTATGAGCCACTTATTGGTTATTACGACATACCAAACCAGCAGCACATTTGTGGCTAGAGCCCAGAAATTTGCTCAAATAGGCAATAAACAAGACACATATTAGCAGACTTCTCCGTAAGTTACCAGAAAACTTTTAGAACCTGCCCCGGAAGAACCATTAGTTTCATTTCTTGTTTCTTTTAAATCAAAATGTTAAACCATTTAGCATTATAATAACTCATTCCTTGGATATGTGAAGTTGTAGCCACTACTCTTAACACGATATAATATTGTCGGCTCAGGGCTTGGCCCGTACGATTTTTCCTAAAAGACCCGGCACCATTAAGAGTATTCTAACTCTTTACGAGTAGCATCTTTTTTTTTTTTTCCACTTTTCATGTAGGACTTTGTGTTTACACACTCAACAATCTCCCTCTTAACTAAGTTCTACAAGACCCATCACCATTTATTGGCTAATTTAGAGATTAACTGTGTGCCACCGACATCATCCGAGTATTTATGGTCACCAAAGCCCAAAAAAGAGGTTGTGTATGGTCACTAAAGCTCAAGGACGAGGCTTAAAGCTACAGGTAAAGGTCATAAATCAGCTTGTAGACGGACAAGGCACTAAGCCGGGCCCCACGCTATACTCCACCATCTTCATACTCGTCCTGCCAAATTATTGGCTTTGATACCAGTTTTTTGGGCTAAAACGGCCCAAAGATACTCTTAAGACGGTATGATATTATGTGCTTTGAGCCAAGCACACACGATTTTCCAAAAGGCCTCGCACCGTATCCAACTACTTACAAGTGGTTCTTTTTCTTTCTACTTTCCCGGTGATTGATCACACACACCAAACACTAACCACAATTATGCAAGTCGAATATACATACTCTACATTGCGATCATGCTCATAAACTGAGGCAGAGGTAGTAACATTTAAAAAAAAAAACAAAAAAAAACAGTTGTACAAGAAACTATAAGCTGACAAAGAATGAAGCAGGGGAATTACAGAAATATAAGAATGAAATAGCTTTACATAGAGTATCTTGTTTCCGACTTTAACAGGCAAAACCCAGATGGAGAAAGAGAAGAAACGTAGGCTGCCCAGTGCCCACAGAAAGGAAAGAGTTTACCTACCGCATAACAATTCATTCTTGCGTGTAGCGCGTTGCGCTCGTTGCGGGACTTAACCCAACACCTTCTGCTGTTCAATCCGTCTCGGAGAGTGAGAGGAGTCGAAGGGGGTTGAGCGGAACAGGGAGCATACTGGACGCAGAAACGAAGCACTTCATCTACGGGCAATGTAGGAACTAGGAAGGGTAGAATATGAGACTAACGTTCTTCTCAAATCGCTCCAGTACGATGGAACGGGGAGTCCGCCAGAGAAAATGCAACACGATAGAAGAGTTCACTCCACAGCGTAATCATCCACAACTACTACCATAATTAGGAGGGAGAAAGAGCTTTTCCAAAGGAACCTTTTGGGGTTGGGGGCCGCTCTCTTCCTTTTGATTATGGTAAGGTTTTATTCAACAAGTGAGTATCTTGACTGATTCTAGAGAAGGGCCGAAGGGGTTCCTCCTCGTCAGGCGCTCTTGATTCCCAACTACCGACTACTACTCCCGGAATTACGTAGGTCTACTACTCAAAAAAGAAAGAATGTGACTTGGACACATGTAGCTTTGCCGTTTGGACAAGTATAGTAGTAGTATAAGTATTTGCAAAAGGTTGACTTGGACACTAGTTTGAATTTGTTGTTGTTGTACTATGTGCGTTTTGGACATGACAAAGGCGACTAATGGTCCCGGGCTAAGCCATTCCGTACCACGGTTTAAGTGGGCCCAACTAATACTTTATTTTTAATTTTATAGAAATTAGAGAAAAAAAGATATTAATAAAAATATTTAAGATAATTCCTTATAAATTTTATTATAGAATTGTGACCTAAATTTTTTAATTTAAATTTAAAGACAAAAATATTATAAAGATATATTCAAAGCAATGCGTTATAATTTTATTATAGCATCAAAAAAATATGACAATATCTTTCTTAGTCTTCCTCCCCCCCTATGGAATGAGCACAACAAGGTGCTAATACCACCATTGAGAAAAAAAAGAAACTAATCAAGATGTGCCAAAATACAAGTTACGTAATACATACTAATTTTTGTTCATACAAGTTACATGGTATCTCTTAAAAACTTCATAAATCCATCAAGGTCCGAAAGAATTTTCGTTGGTGGTGGCGGAAAAGAAGCTTGGTCATCACCGCTTCCGGGAGAAGAAGCATCTTCCGCAAGTTCAACTAGCATTTCTTCGAAAGCTTCGTCGACCTCTGGTTGTGCAAGTCCAAAATTTCTTCTTTCCGAACGGATCCAATCTCTGAAAAGTACTGATTTTTCCAAGCTCTACCTCATAGACGCTCTATAATCACCGAGTTGAAGTCTTGCTTGACTGAAAGCGCTCTCCGGTGCCACTGTTGAAACTTGAATAGTTAAAATATCTCGGGTCATCCTTAAAAGAACCGGAAAGTATTTTTCTTTGTCTTTCCACCATTCCAAAAGATTAAAGGAGCCGTCGGGATTCACTTCCTCAATTCCCTGTGACAAATAAACTTCAATCTCATTTAGTTGTGAAAATTCACTACTAGTAGAATCTTGAGAATCCCTAAACCCTGCCCAAGCACTAAGTGCTCTTACTCCCGCAGTTCTTTTAGATGATGGAGAATCAGAATAAAAAGGAGCTGGAACATTTGATCTAGCATGATCTAATGCAACTTGATAAGCATTATAAATAGTTTGAGCATTTATNTATTTATTCTAATTGAGGCTAGTGCTTCCGGAAGTTTAGACAACTCCTCATCTTCAAGTGCTAAACCTTTATAAATAGTTTCATACCAAAATTGAGGACCTCCTAATTTCATACAAGGATTTAACAAAGCACCAACACCATAAATAGGGGGAATAGGGAAAAAATATTTTTAAAACTTTTTTCTCATAGAATCAATAGCAAGTTTGTAAATTTCCCCACCCTCCGAAAAAATGAGCAAACAAATTTGCAAGTTCTGCAATATAAACTAAACAGTTAGAAATAGTAG